AGGCCCATAGAATCATGGACACACTCCAATACTTGCATCTTCATGCTGCTAGGAAACAGAAGCTGGAAAAATTCCCCCAATTGCTCATCATGAACTACCGAATACAATGACCTCTTAAGTTCCCGGCAGCAATTTATGCTCTTTCCCATTAGGCTTCCTGTTTTTACCCCACAGGTCTCTGAATACACCCAGCACAGGATCCTGCTCCTGCAAAGCATGCAGGACCTCAGAATAACCCGGAAAGGTTGGTGTGTTGCCTTGATTCAGACCACTAACATCTCACAAACCAGCTTAAGGGCTCAGATCTGCCTGACTTCACAGCTTCAAAGCTATTATTACCAGCACTGGGTCAAGAGCCATGCCCCAGTTAATCAGACTACAGATTGCCACACAACCATCAAATACTTGACATTGGATGTCGAAATCAAATACTGACAACTGTGCAAACCATCTCTGCTTAATTGCTCAAAACTTGCCTGTTTTCAAATGGCATAATGGATTGTTGTCTGTGATTTCAGTGAATTTGGAATCCAGTAAGTAACCATGGAACTTTTGTTGAACTGTAGAACTATTATTACTGTCATTCTTTTCTGCATTCTTCACTCGCCTGCTTGCATACGCGGTGACGTTCTTGGTATCTCCTTGCTGCTGATACACAATGGCTCCAAGCCTGTTACTGCTTACATCGGTCTCCACTACAAAGGGCTATGTAAAATTAGCAAAGCCTAAGATGGGTGCACTGGTTAGCTTTTCTTTAAGTGAGTCAAAGGCTGTTTGACATTCTTCAGTCCACACTTAACTTGATCTCAAGTTCAACTACTGGACATGTTCCCACAGTGCACTGCAATTAATGGTTCATGGGAGTGCTGTACATTATCTGAGTCTATGGGGTTCCCCTGCATTGCCTGACTCACAAAAACTTGGGGGTCTCGTTTCCCTGTGAGCTAGAGGAAACTGGCTTTACATTTCTTGCACCTCGTTTCTGTGGGCAGCACTTTGCTATATGCCCCGGGACCTCACACTTGAAACAGATTAGCTGTCTGTTCTCTGTGTACTTTGGTTGTGACTTGGCTTTGCTCTACTACTACTTTAAGGACATCATCTAGAGTGACCGTCTTTGGTTCATGCACCTTAAGAGCTGAACACTGTGCATGAGTACTATTACTATTACTTTTCAACTTTACAGTTTTTGCTTTTGCTGAGGACTCTTCTAGAAACTACAGATAAGCCTCCTCTTGCACATCGATCATAGAGGATTCAGGGTTGTTTCATATGTATTTGAAAAGCTCTCTCCTAGGAGAAGGATCTCTGATGCCCTCTATGATCTGACCTCTTAGCTCAAATCTAGGCCTGTCACGATAGATAATTGTGATAAACTATATTATTGTCATTTTTAGACGATTTTATGCCACTGATACAATGATAATATAATAGCATAATAATGCAAGTACACCCTTTCAAACAGCAAGGAACTTTTAATTCTTAAGAACATTCAGACATTGAAATTGGAATGTCAAAAAAACACCAGGGGCAGGATTCATGAAAATCTTCTTAAGAAAGAAGTTAAGAAAGTTCTTAAGGTAAATTCTAAGAAGTTCATAAGAATGTTCCTAAGTGCAATTCTTGAAAAATTCTTAAGAAGTTCTCAAATATTTTCTTTTATCTTAATGTTTTTCTTAAGAATACAATGACAGTAGTGTAATAGCTACAGCAAATTCAATACTGCCAAATTTTAAATGTATCAATTTATTATCCTTTTTTTTTAAAGTAGCAATCACCTCCCGATCATTTATTCAAATGTAAAGGGCATGTGATGTGTTCATTTAACAACATTAACCAACATTAACTGTCATAGGAGAATTTAATTGCTGGAAAGTGGCTAATTTGACACAGAGAAGAAGAAAAGAAACAAAAACTGAAGTAGGCAGGAGCTGGAGGTACTTATCATGGAAATTAGTGCAAGAAAGAAAGTTCTCCTTGGAAGGCTGGATAATTGTATCACAACACAAAAGTAAGTGGCATGCTTGGGAAAGGGTAGCAAAGGCTGTTTCAGCTGTGGCCAACTCTGTTAGGGATGTGGATGGGGTGAAAAAGAAATGGCCAGACTTAAAGTCTGCAGTTAAAAAAAAAGGAGCAGAAAGGTCAAGGGAGCAGAAGAGGACAGGTGGTGGATCACCATCTACAATTTAAGATGCATTTGAGGAGAAGGTTCTGTCGGAGCTATAGCGTTGACAGGTGTCAAGTCCAGTGTGGATATATAACTATAAGAAGTTATTTACGATTATTTTTATGAACATTCGTTTCAAGCATTTGAGTTTTTCTTAAATTTTGTCTTAGGAACAATCTTAAGAAAAAAAAAAAAGAACATTCTTAAGAATTTTATTCTTAACAATGTTTCGTGAATCCGGCCCCTGATTTTTAAACAGAGGGCGGAACGAATAATTACAAACCAAACAGTGCTGTGTTATATTGTTTATTGTTTATTGCAAAGAACAAACCTGGCTGTTAACAAAGGGCATTTATTTTTAAACTAAAGTGCATAAAATTATAAAATCAAAAGATTTAACCTAGGCTCTCAGGCCAGTTCTAGTGTTAATTTCCACACTGTTTTTAGTCATAATTTTTGTCTTCTGACAAAATATCCTTTAAATGTAGTCAATATTTCATCATGTCATGTTTATTTTTAGTCAATTTGACTAAAATGGCATTGAATGTTTGTCAATGGCATTTGAGGAGAAAATGCAAAAATTAAACCAAATATTCACACATTTTATATATTAACTTAAACATGTATCAACAAAAACATGTGAAAACTGCCCTTGTGAAAACCTGATCTCCTGAAATAATAATATAATGTAATAATAATATTACAATGAGTACACTATTGTAATACAATATTGTAAATTCTTTATGCTTTAGTTATTCATTGTCCGTGATTTAGTGCGATGTTACGGAAGGAGTGTAGTCACAACGTGACTTACCATTCTACCTAGCGCGTTACTTAAGTTCAAGTTCACTTGTGCATTCGCATTTTGTGCAGAATATATTACGTTTATATTGTGTATATGTCTGATTAATCTCATGTGTATAGGAACACTAGAACTATTCTTTCTAGATTTTTCTTAATATCTTGCATGACATTTTTTCAACAGTATGTTTTAATTAAAATTGGTGCTAGTGCTTGCTACACATCTTAAATTCAAATACACAGTTTTTGCATTCGAATGTGCATTTTTATCTTAAATTCTACGAATATTTGAAGTTCGAAATTTAATTTGACATCCCTAGAGCAGACGAGAGGTCATCAGCTATGACATAAGGTCATCAGCTATGACATAAGCTATGACATACCTTGTGCCAAGGTATGTGAAAACTCTCATATGTCCTCACCCTCTTGCTGCTTGCAGCTGTAGAAACTATGCAACAGCTGAGGTGTGCTACGTTTATCTTGAAAAGCATCTCCGAGGTAGGTAAACAAGTCACTAGCATTGTCAATGTCAGCATTACTGCGCATATAGTGCTTCTTCTAAAGCTTCTTCTATGCAGGGACATAACAAAATCATACTGTTCATGGTCAGATGGATTCCTAGCATGGAGGACATGTTCCTCAATAAAATCATCAACAGGCCTATCATCATTGTCAAACTCACCACTAAATGGGGCAATGTGCCTTTCTTTTGGAACATAAACATAAGAGCTGTTACTTAGTGTAGCTACAGTTGTCATAGCTTCCTTGTGCTTGGTACGCAACTCCCTAATTTGTTCTTGCAAGTTCTTCTTGTTCATCATCTGACTCTGACATTGTAAAACTTCAGTCTTTACAGTCTCTACCACAGGTTTTGTAAAGATAAAAAGTCTGTCAAAGTCCAGCAGCAGCCAAAATGATGATTTTACTGGCACAGTCTTTCTGGGCTGCAGTCCCTGGTACTGTCCCACTGTGTCTTAGCATTGCCACCTGGAGCCCTAACATGGTCTTGAAGCACCACCACAGCAGCTGGATATCTGACTCCTCCTCTCTATCCTCTGAATATTTGAACCACCAACCTGCTCCTAACTGTATTATGTACAAGATTTTATACTGCATAGACCAAAAGGCAAAAGTTCTTCTTAACTACTTGGAATAACCCCACTCCTGGCACCAAAATTTGAGGCATGAGAAGACACACTCAGGACAACAAATTAGGCTATACTCTGTTGGGTTGGTTTATTCTCTGTGTGAGTTGCAGATGTTTTATGTAGTCAGAGGATATCAAGGTATAAATCAAAATATAGTAAATAACCAAAACAAACAAACAAAAATGAGTTTCCACTGTAACAGACTTAACCAAAGCTTTCTTTTCTCACACACTTGTATGTATGCAATATAAAAAACTGAAAATACAGTACAAATAATATGGTAGTGGCTAGTTTAGAAGTAAACACAAACATTATAAATGCCACCAATTCTACTCTGTGCAGCATCACAAATAAAATTCATCTCTCAAAATGACCTGTCTGTTATTTCTATACTCTATATTCTATACTATACTTTGCACACATGTGTTAAACTCTAAAACACACATAGGTTCGACTCTGGAACTTAGCTCCACAAACTCACAATAGCTACACAAACAGAGACAATAATATTCACCTTCTAGTGACAGTACCTCATTATTTTACATTCCCTTTACTATAAAACCATCATTAAATTAAATACAAATCATGAATCATTTGTCACTTTAACAGTCTGATAAGCTCTTTGCACTACTCACTTTACATTTGCACTGTTTGCACTCTATCTGTTGTGCCTTGTAGATCTACATTTATACTATATTTATATGTATCCATTTGCATTTCCATTTGTATTTTTACATCCTTTTTTTGTATGTGTTATCTGTATGCACCTAGGGTCTGAGAGTAACGTAATTTCAATTCTCTGTATGTGCTGAACATGTGGCAGAATTGACAATAAAGCAGACATTGACTTTGACTTTGACTTTGATGAAAGAGCTGCCTTGTGGTCCCTGGAGGCCTAGTGGCTAGGCCTCAGTGCTCTCACTGCCGCAGCCAGGGTTCGATTCCTGGCCAGGGAACCAACCCCACAGGACAGTGCACAGCCAGTGCCCAGTCCCAAGCCCGGATAAAATTGGGGAGGGATGCATCAGGAAGGGCATCCAGAGTAAAAACTGTGCCAAATCAAATATGTGGACCAATGATCTTCTGTGGCGATCCCTATCAACTGAAAGAAGAAGAATAACAACAACGACACGCGATGACATGCACAAACATCCCATCGTGCACCTTACATGCAAAAAATATCCAACATCTCTTTGTTAATTCAAGATTATTCACCTCTTTCCTACAGCTTACAGACCACAGTCCACGAGTAAAGATTTCTTTTTAACTCGCTCTACCCCTATCTGTGTGATGGCGCCACCTGCTGTGTAGACCCAACTAATGATATCTAATTATCACCTGGTTACATTTATTGGTTTCCTTTGTTAGGCACCATGGCCGTCACCATCATTATTGCCAGTACTGCCCAGCAATACTACTGTTCACAGCTGGCACTATGTAGGGCTTGACATGAAAATTTGGAATTACTACTAATAAACAAGTGTTGCCACGCCTACTAGGTAAGATATTACACTCTTAGTTGAAGCTGTCACAACCAACTATTCCCACTTTACCAATGACTAAACTTTTAACCGAAATAATCTTAATCAGATGCTGAATCCCAAATCACTCCTAAATGCATATATACTCAACCCCAGAATTATTAACCCTTCAATAAGCAAAAATAAACAAAAGTGAATATTTAAAATTAATAGGACAATGATATTTTGAATGATATTAAGTAGTGCATTTTTTATGCAAAACTTTGGTTTCATAATTGTACATGACTATTTTGATTTATACCTTGATATCCTCTTACTACATAAAACATCTGCAACTAACATAGAGAATAAACCAACCCAATAGAGTATAGCCTAATTTGTTGTTATCTCATGCCACAAATTTTGGTGCTAGGAGTGGGGTTATTCCAAGTAGTTAAGAAGAACTTTTGCTTTTTGGTGTATGCAGTATAAAATCTTGTACATAAAACAGTTAGGAGCAGGTTGTGTAATTGTACATGAATACATGACTATTCATTTCAAGCTAATTTACTGTGCCTTACATGAAAGAAAAGGAAAGAATATGGCACAAACACAGTGCTGCCTAAGCCCTCCTCTAAAAACCAATGACCAGATAAGGAGGGCATTAGTCAGAATGGGAGAAGCTGTTCACAGGACAACTATAGCCAGAACACTCCAAAAAAGCTGGGCTATATGGGTTGACATGCCAAAATGTTAGAGAATTAGCAAATGTGAAAAAAGGTTCTCTGATCTAACTTTTTGGCCTTGGCACAAAGTGCTGTGTTTAGCAGAAATCTATCACTGCTCATCACTCTGAGGACACTATCCCCACACTGAAGCATGACACTACCCATCATGTTGCGGGACTGCTTTTCATCAGCAGGGACTCTGATGAAAAGTTTGGTCAAGGTTGAGAGCAACTGGTCAAGGTTGAGAGCAACATGAATGAGAAAAATACAGAGCTGTTGTGTTGACACACTGTTGTGCTCTGTTTCATTCTGTCTATATTCATCATTTATCTTCTGCATGTTTTCCCTTTAATGCCTTTCAATCTCAGTATATCTTTACCCCATGCATGTTTTAAATGATTGTAGATTTTGGACTGCTAGAATTCTAGTCAAGGGAAATCAAGTCACATGTCATTATGACAACATCACTCTACTGCACTGCACACACTTGATTCTTGAAGAAAATTAGAGGAGCTAATTTGATACTGCAACAACACAATTATGTATTATTTCAAACCTCACCCCTTTTTAAGTCAGTTGTTGCTATATTTATATTTGCCCATATGCTTTTAATTTGTTTGTTAAATAAATTGTCACATTCTGTCATGTCTGCTATTTTACAGATAGACAGACAGACAGACAGCCTGCTGACGATTGCTCTAGTCACACCCATTCTGCCCCCACCCAAATCAACCAATGTTTTTTTTTTTTAAATCTACATCTGTTACATAGTTTTTATGATCATTAAATTCAAACTGGGGGACAGTGATATGCAGCCCATGCAGGTAATAGATAATCTACCATTTCCTTCCATTCAAACAGCATACCTTTGTAAGGCAAAGGAGACATTCATCAAGAGTCTAAATGGTTAATCACCTATAAAAGGAGCAAGGACAACAAAGCAGCAATTTGTGCTACAGTAGCTATTATTTGTGATCGGACCAGACGGGATGGCCTTCGCTCCCCACACACATCAGTGAGCTTTGGGCACCTATGACCTTGTCGCCAGTTCACCGGTTGTCCTTCCTTGGACTATTTTGCAGGTACTAACCACCGTATACTGGGAACACCCCACAAGACCTGTGATTTTGGAGTTGCTCTGATCCAGTCGTCTAGCCATCACAATTTGTCAAAGTTGCTCAGATCCTTACACTTGCCCATTTTTCCTGCTTCCAACACATCAACTTCGAAAACTGACTTTTCACTTGTTGCCTAATATATCCCATCCCTTGACAGGTGCCATTGCAAAGAGATAATCAATGTTATTCCAACGTTATTCACTTCACCGGTCAGTGGTTTTAATGTTGTGGCTGATAGGTGTATATACATATACATACATATATATATATATATATATATATATATATATATATATATATATATATACACACACACACACACACACACACACACATACATATTTGTCATTTTGACATTGAAAGTTATTTAGCAATTTAGTAATAACCACACATTGTTTCGTGCACATGATAGGAAATAACACAAGATGTTTTTGGAGATGAACATTTTTGTAATTTGCCTTTTTTTTTACAGCTATAAAGTATTAGTTAAGCAGGGGCTAAATGTGCTTCCAAAGGTTTTGTCATATAGTTAAAAAAAACCTACTCTTTGACTATAGTGTGATTTGTATATTTTCTTTAATTCAATACAATTCACTTAAGATGAAATTTAATTGGTAAATGGAACAAATGCAATATATTAAATATATTTTGAGTATCATCACAAATAAATATTTAATTTGTACTCATCCTTAGAACAACACCACAAAGAAAATATTCTTTCTTCGTGATTTATCTAAAAATCTGTCCTTTGCTCCACTTTACAATGCCAACATTATGTGCCTTCTGCCCATAGGTATAATGTGAAGAATACACAAAATAAATATTCAGCCTCTATTCAACATCTCTTGACAATATTTATATACGTCTAAAAAAAATAGATATATATAGTGCAAGCTGAATAATACACGAGGAAATTCAGCACACTGAAAGCAGCAAGACTCTTCCTGTCTTATGAACTATTGTGCAAGTCACTTGTACACAAAGAACGTCAAACAACCAACATGTTCAGAATGCCGTTTCAAATGATCACCCAATTGCTGACAATAAACAAACGTGAAATTCATTCATTATCTGCCTCAAGCACAGCATCCATGATTTTGGGGCCTACTCTTTTCTGAATTGTTTAAGAATTCTACAATTCTACGATTAATCAAACTCAATACTATGAAATCTTCCCTGTCCAAGAATTAACAATGTCACCAAGATGTCACCAAAGGAATTTGGGACAATGGAGTTAAACCTGTTGTTTATTTAACCTTGCATTCTATCACATTCTGGCACTGACCATGCCAAAACTTTGGTGCACACACTGATATGCAGTGCCTGACAAAAATGAAATAGACTACATTGGATAATGCTTTCAATCAAAATCTACACTCTTAACGTATTTAGCAATGGATAAAAAAAACTATCCATTCAACCATCGCTGATCAACATAAAATTATTTCAAGATTGATTCATGTATTTGAGACGTGCTAATGCAGTCTCCAATACTTCATGGAATTCCTAGATGTTTCCATTAAAATATTTGCCCAGTCTATAAAGCAGCAGAGCGGAGTAGCATCACATTATAATGTCCCAGTAGCAATTTCAGCAAACCCTAGGTTGTGAATGACAAATAACCTGGATCATCATCAAAACCACAGGGGCACCATAACAAAGGAACTGAACATTTCAACATAACTTAATGAGACTACAACAGTCAGGATACATAAATCATTATGGCAGAAACAGGCATGCTTGTTGACTCTAATGTTTTACATCTTAAGACCTTTGCAGCAATAAAATAATTAAAGCTGGACATTTTATAGTAAGAGATAACATTCCAGGCACTGAAATTATATTAAGATGAAACAAACCCACAATGACTCCTGCCTCATTGCTTTTGGTATGACAGAGCTATACTGATCTGCGGATCAGATTGTTCTTCTCAGGCTCCAGATACTCCTCCAGCAGAGCAGAGGTCACCTTTGCTAATTCCTCTTCAAGACTTGAGATATCTCTGTAAGGATAAAAAAATACATATTTTGGTTCCTTTTTTACAGCAGCCTTTCATTCTTTCATCTTCAGTACCATGTTACAACCCATTCAAAAAATCTGACATTTCTTATCACAGTTGCATACTGCACATACTGTATTTGTATCCAAAATATAACGCAAGTCTGAAAAAAATTAAATTCTTTTTTTGAAAATAAAATTAAATCCTGTAAGTGCTCATAGCCTGAGAGGACCCTTGAAGACATGTACCTTTTTCCAGGTGGTGCACAGAACTCTGTGTAGTACTTGATTTTGGGCTCTGTCCCACTAGTTCTAAGGGTGGCAACGATACCATTCTGAAATGTGAATGTCACCATTTGGCTGCTTTTGGACACTGGTAGGACCTGAGCAAAGATGATATACAAACACAAATTCCTAAGTAGGATTTCTTCCAAACATCAACACATTTTTTGCTATCTAGCACAGAGGTTCTCATCTTCAGTCCTGGAAACATAATGCCCTGGACAGTTTGATGATTTTCCTACTCCCCACATACACATATTCAAGTGATTAAGCACTTGAACTGAATGAACTGTATGTATTTGCATAAATGAGTATGGAAAACCTTAAACTGTGCAGGGCATGGCACTTCCAGAACTGGACCTGAGAATCT